CTGGTAGGACCGGTCTTTAGGACCAAGACCGGACCGGGACGGACCGTAACATCTCTAATGTTGTTCTCAACTAAGGGTGAGAGCAAACACTTATATACAGTCAGACCTCTCTAAGTGCACGCCTCGAGACCACACTTCAATAATGTGCATATAGAGAACTGTAAGAAAAGTGCATTTATAGAGTCAAGTATCTAGCACTTGAGCGTACATTTAGAGATGGTGCGCACTTATAGAAGGTGCACTTAAAGAGGACTGACTTTATGTATCTTCTTAATATTTTGCAGGATTAGGATAAAAATTTCTAATGTCTAAATAAAATTAATAGACTCTTTTTATAACATCCGCATTCATTTATAGCTATGTCGCTGTTTTTAAACAACAGCGAAAATTCAACCTTAGTTGACATGATCAATAATTATGATTGGTCATCAACTTCAGTGGGTCCTATAAGTTCATGGGAGCCTCAAATTAGATCTATTCTGGTAAATTGGCAATACTTTTGAGGATTATGACATGTATATTTTAATTTATATAATTCACATTAATTTATCTGTAAATACCAGCGAATCAGCCTTAAATCCATCTTTCCCACATTTATACATATGGGTCCAGATTGGACTACCCTATACAATGAAGGTAATTAAATTTGATTTTTATATTTGGCTATTTAAATAATTTTATATAATAAAAATCATATTATCTGTATAGCGGCGGTACTAACGCTAAAATCAAGGCATCCTAATGGTAAGTTATATAATTCACTTCGTATTATCACATACGTTGCTGAAACTTGCAAATTAGCAACTTTAAAACTGCTTTAAAATAATTATATAATAACTATAAAGTAATTATATAGTTGCTTCGTAGTCGTTATAGTTATACATTTACTATACATTGGCAATACGCCTACTACTGTATTATTGACTCCTACGTTACTACTATATTACTATGCTTTTATTTTATTACATTTTATAAAATATTATTATGTAAAAATATAGTAAAATAGCAGCAATTAGTGTTCGGCACAATCAAACAAAAATTTGACAGTCAAATACTTGTTAATACTTGTGATTAAGTCGGACATCAAAT